GGCCCGTGACTGACCCGCCCCTCTGCTCCCGCTCTCCCGCCTCCTGGTCCCGCTCGCCTGCCCCCCTGGTCCCGCTCACCCGCCCCCGCCCCCCCCCCCTCCGCTCCCGCTCGCCCGGCCGCCTGGCCAACCAGCGCCTCCCCCGGTCGCAGGAGATCCCGACGCGCATCCACGCGGCGCTGGTCCTCTCCCCGCGGCTGGACAATGTGGAGCCCTTCATCCAGCGCGCCGTGGAGATGGGCGCCGCGTCCATCATTCCCCTGCTGCCACTGGCCGAGGGCAAGCGCCCGGACTGGGTGGACCCGGCGCAGCGGGAGCTCTTGACGCAGGAGCGCCTGCTGTCGTGGCGCCTGGCCGCGGCCAAGGCCGCCGAGGCGGCCGGCCGGTCGGTTGTCCCGCCGGTGGTCATGTCCACCGGGCCGGACGGCCAGCACCTGATGCCCTTCTTCTTCGGGGACTGGACGACGGCCGTGTCGCGGGCGGTGCGGAATGCGCGCGCCAGCGCCGGCCCCGGCCCCGGCCCCGGGTCCGGCCCCCCGGGCCCGGCGCCCCAGCTGACGGCCAAGGTGTCCACCTGCAGTGCGGATCTCCTGCGCCACCTGCCGGATGTGGCCAACGCCCTGGAGGAGCATGACCGGCAGTTCCGCTCGGACTCCGAGGATGAGGCCGGCGGCCCGGGCAGGCTGGCGGTGCCGCAGCCGGCCGTCGTGCCGGCCGGCATGACCTACGAATCGGTGGCCAACCTCAGCGAGTACTACTACGAGGGGCTGGACTATTCGGACCCCGGGACCTGGATCCAAAGCCCCAAGGGCCCGGTCAATCCGACCACCGCGCTGCCCATCGGCGACTATGACGACGCCATTGCCCTGACGGATGCCCACCGGTTCCTGGTCCGACAGGTGGACTGGCCATTGCGGGACTCGCTGGCCCTGACCAGCCCCCCGGCCGGGGCCTGCCTGCTGTGCTACGACCCGCTGGACACCCAGGAGCAGCCGTCGCTGCTGCCGCTGCTGTCGGCCGGCCTCCGGGCAGGCGGCGACCTGGCCGAGGCCGGGGGGCGCCCGGGGCGCCGGGGCCGCGGCGCACCCGCCGGCCGTCGGCACGCCGGCGCCAGCCGCCTTGAGCAGGAGGCCCCCCCTGCCCAGGTGGACGAGTCGCGGCCGGGGGAGGCCCGCCGCGGCCGGGGCCGGCGTAGCCCTCCCCGCCCGGGGGGGGCCGCTGTGGCCGGGCACGAGTCGGCCCCCGAGTCCGACGTGGCGGAGGCCGCGCCCACCGAGGGGGCGAGTGGCCAGGCCCGGCGGGGCCGCGCGCGTCGCGCCGCCCCGGCGGCCGAGGTGCCCGGGTCTGACTTCGACAGTGGGCCGGACTCCGACGGGGAGCGGCCCCCCTCCGACCTGGGGCACGGCCACCACGAGGAGGAGGAGGAGGACATTTCGTACGATGCGCTGACCGGCGACACGGCCGGCGCGCTGGATCTGGCCAGCGAGCAGGAGGTCCGCGATGTGTTCTTCCTGCTCGGGGCTGACATTGGCATCTCGGCGGTCGAGCGGGCGCACCTGAACCGCCTGGCCACAGACCGCGACGCGTGCGTGCCCTGGGCCCGGGGGCACTTCGGCCCGCGGCTCCTCCGGCCGGAGAGCGCCCTCGGCACCCTGGCCACGCTGGCGCACTCCCTGGCCGGGAACTTCGACTGAAGGGCGCCGCCGGGGGAGCAGGGAAAACACACGATATAGACGCAGCCCGCCATCCCCCTGTGCCCTGTGTGTGTGTGTGTGTGCGCGCCTGACCCTGGTTCGGCGCGCGAGGAGAGGGGGAAACAGAGAAAGCACAAGAGAGAGAGAGAGCACAAGAGAGCGCACACAGCAACAAGAGAGGGGAGAAGGAAGTTGGTTGTATTTGTATGTGGGGGGATTGTGTTTGGGGGAAAGGGGGGGGGGGGAAGAAGGACACACAAGGGCGGGGGAGTCTGAGGGAAGAGGGAGAGAGAGCGCACGCATACTGCGCGCACGCATGAGAAAGAAGGAGGGAGAGAAAGGAAGGGAGGGAGTGCGATCGCGATCTCTCCTGCCCTGCGCTTCTCCTCGCCGCCCCCCCCCTGCTCTCGCTCTCCCGCTCCCCCCCGCCGCTCGCCCGCCACAGGCAGGGGGGCGCGAGGGAAGGAGCGAAAAAGCGCGGGAGGGAGGGGGAAAGAGAGAGAGAGAGAGAGAGACAGAGAAAGAGAGAAGGGAAGCCCAGCTTCCACGCCACTTTAAGACTTGAGGAACTTCTTGTTGATCAGGTAGATCATCAGGTTGACGTTGATCTTGGCGCTGCCGATCTGCATGGCCTGGATGTTGTCGAACTGCTTCTGCAGCAGGTCCTCGATGGAAATCTCGTGGGTGTCGGTCATGCCGAACAGCTTGCCCTCGATCTGGTAGACACCGGACTTCGGGGTGTTGGAGATGGTGAGGTAGGCCTTGCTGCGGGCGTTCTTCGGGACATTCTCCAGCTCATACAGGACACCCTTCTGGAAGAGGCGCTCCGCGGTGTAGGAGTAGGAGATGGTGCTGTCGTTCTGGTCCTTCTTGGAGTCGCGGAACAGGCCGAGCCCCTTCTTCTTGGGGGGCTTGGCCTTGTCCACCATGCCACTGATGGTGGAGTCCACGTACTCCTGGTACTTGGACTTCTGCTCATCCAGGTAGGAGGTCTTCTCGTCGAGGTTCTCCAGGGTCTGACGAACCTTGACCAGCTCCGAGCGGCGCTGGATGCGGCGGCGGTTCTTGTTGCGAATCTCCTTGGCAATGTCATTCAGGAGCTCCTGGTAGCCATTGGCACGGGACACCATGCCGGCGGCCTCCAGCTGCTCGAGGTTGCTCTGGACGCGCTGCTTCAGCTGCTCGAGGTTCTGCGGCTGCAGGGGCTCGGCGGCGGCGGCGGCCGCCGCCGCCGCGGCATCCTCATCCTTCTTGTGCCCGGCGCGGCTCTCGCGGTTCAGGCGGATGTTCTCCTCGGACTGGAGCTGGGCCTCGTAGAGGGCCTGCTGCTCGGCGGTCACCGGCGACTCGATGATGGCCATCAGGGTCTTGCCACGCTGCACACGCATGACAGACAGGCACATGCGCTTGGTCTCGACGAACATCTGCCGCATGCGCTGGGCATCCTCCGACTCCAAATCCGGGAACCGATTGGTCAGGTTCAGAGTGACATCCTGATCGCGGCTCTGGTTGTCCACCGTGGCCGGGGGCTGGCCCAGCTCATCGAGGATGACATTCAGATGGTCCGACGCCTCGGGGGCCAGGTCCTCGCGGAACTCCAGCAGCAGCGAGTGCGTGGTGTAGATCTGCACCGTGGACATGTAGACAATCGGCTTCTGGATGGTCAGCAGATCGTCATACCGGTCCACCTGGAAGTACTCCTCCACGGTGACCACATTGCCCACCTCGCGGAAGAAGTTGAAGAACCGGTCGGTCGACTGGCGGACAAACTCATTGAGCGACGACAGGTAGAACAGCTCGTCCTCGAAGAGCTTGCCGACACTGATCTGCATCAGCATCTTGGAAATCTCACCGAGGTTCTTGCGCTCCTCCTGGCGCACGCGGCCGGACTCGACCACGCCGAAGAAGTCCGGCGACACGATGGCCGGGTTGATGTACCGGTAGTAGATCAAATGACCGACCACCTTGAGGATCTCATGCTCCTCGCCCGGGCCGAGCTTCTCCGACATGAGACGGTGCAGCTCGCGCGCGATGTACCGAATGCCATACGGCATGTGCGGCAGGGACTCCATGATGGCGGTGATGAACTTGTCGGTCATCGACCGCAGGTCCTTGACACGGCGAACGAAGATCTTCATGACCTCATCGCTGTCGAGGGCCTGCGACCGGCTGATGTCATACTGCAGGGTGGACACCTGACCGGTGCGGGACTCCTCATCCTTGATGAGAGTCCGGTAGATGGTCAGCGGGTCGACATCCAGGTCGAGCTCCTGGTTGTCCAGGATCTCCGACACCAGGGGCTTCAGCAGGCCATGAAGGAACTGCTGCTCCTTGGCACCACGCGTGTACCGGACAATGAGGTTGATGAAAACCGGATTGTCACGCAGCAGCTCCTGGGCCGAGCTGACATGGGTGATTTCCTCGGTGAGGGCATCACGGAAGAGCGACAGCAGCAGATACTCCTCGCGGGCATTGTGCGCATAGCTGTACAGGGTGAGGACCACCTGCTCCAGGAACTTCTGGTTCTGCTCGCGGCTCTTGAGCGCCGACATGAGCTTGGCCAGGTAGTGGGGCTTGGTCTGGAGCAGGTAGAACAGATGCTGGTAGGACATGAGCTTGTCGCGGGACTCGCGATCCAGGAGCTTGAGCGAGCCGCCGGTCTCCTGCTGCTGCTCGGACTTCTTCTGCTGCTGGCGCAGGAACTTCTTGGTCGACTCGACGAACTCATCCAGCGACACGCGGTTGCGAATGAGCAGCGCAATCTTGACATCCAACTCGCCAAGCTCGCGCTCCTTGGTCTGGTTCTCGCGAATCTGCAGGACAACCTGCTGCTTGTGGCGCTCCAGCTCGATCTCCTCGTCGAAGTCCTTCTCCGAGTCGTCCAGCAAATGCACAAACCGCTGGATGGTCTCGAAGGAGGTGTTCTCCTTGGCCATGAGGGCCTTGTACTGCTGCTGGGCGATCTTCCGGCGGAAGTGCGCCTGGATCTTGATGATCTCCTTCTCATGCTCGCGGTAGTGGCGCATGCGCTCGGCATGGTGCGCGCGCACGGCATTCCCCCGGATCATGGCCTGGATGCGCTCCCAGAAGGGCTCATGCTCGCGCAGGAGGGCCATGCGCTCCAGGTGGTCACGGCGACCGAGGAACCCACGGATGTTGGCCTGGAGGATCTCGATCTGCGGCTCGTTCTTGGCGAAGTGCGCCGCGCGGGCCTGGTCTTCCAGGAGCTTGCGCTGCTCATTGAGCGCATGCTCGCGGTTGTCCTTGGCCTGGCGGAAGATGGCCAGGAGCTGCTCCAAATCCGACAGGGCCTTGCCAATGGGCGGGGTGTACTGGTACTCGTCGTGCAGCAGCTGGTACTCGGTGCGCAGGGCATCGGCCTGGCGCTCGAAGTCCGCCAGCTGGGTGTCCCGGTCCTTGGCCAGGTCGGCCAGGAGCTGGTTGACGGCGGCCAAGTCGGCCGGGAAGTCGCGGCTGTCGTCGGCGCTCTTGGCGGCGCGGACCTGACCGGCCACCTCGTCGAAGTGCGCCTCGTAGGTCTTGCACTTGAGGGCGCGCTCGCGATCGTCGAAGGCCGAATGCACCGACGCGGCGATCTTCCGCGCATCCTCCACGCCCATGCTGGCCGGCGGGGTGTAGCCATGGTCATTGGCCAGGCCCGTGGCATCGGTGGCCAGGGCATCGACCAGACCGCCGAGGTGCTTGTCGGCCTCCGCGCGACGGGTCTGCACCTCGGTCACCATGGTGGCCAGCTCCTGGCTGGAGTTGGGGAACTCCCGGCGCGAAGCCTCGGCAATGTAGTCATTGGCATGCTGGTTGAGGGCCGAGAAGTCGTCGACATAGGCCTCCCGACGGAGGGCATAGTCCTTGGCCACGGCCAGAGCCGCGCCATAGGTCTGATCGGCCTCATCCAGCCGGGCCCAGCCGGCATCGAGGCTGGCATCGGTGGCCGGCTCCGGGGGGACATACCCGTGCTCGGCGCCGAAGGCCGCATTCTCGGCCTTCAGCTGGCCCAGCAGCGCCTGCTTGGTGGGCTTCTCCGCGGTGGAGTAGGTCTGGAAGTCATCCAGCAGCGACTGCACCCGGACCGAGTTCATGGTCTGCAGGGCCGTCGGAGCCGGGGGCTGGTGCGCGGCGGTCTTGGCCGCCATCCAGTCCTGCAGGCCCTCGGCCTCGGCATCATGACGCAGGCGCTTCTGGTTGTAGGTGAGGGCCGCGTCGAAGTCGTCCATGGCCGCCACGAGGACCTCCCAGGCGGACTCCAGCGCCGCCGGGGACACCTTCTCATCGACCTCGTACTCGCCCATGTCGTTGTCGGCCATGCGCTTGGCGATGTCCTGGTAGGCGGTCAGCACGCGCTGCTTGGCATCCCGGCGGGGGGGCAGCTCGGTGGTCTTGAAGGCGTCGAACCCGGACACCAGGCCGGACAGGTCGTCGGCCACGATGTCATCGGTCGGCATGTTGTCGCGGAAGTTGCTGGACGAGGTGTTGCACCACTCGATCAGATCGCTGATGCGCGACTCGAAGTCCGCCTGCTTCTCGCGGATCTCCCGGCGAGCCGAGTCATCGATGCCCAGCTCGCGGTTCAGCGAGTTGCCGATGTCCCCGAAGGCCGGCAGCTGCAGGTCGCCCAGGTTCTTGGACGCCTGGGCCAGCTCCTCGTCGGTGAAGGTGAGCGTGCCCATGAGGTCGCCGATGCGCGGGGCCAGGCCCTTGGCAAAGAGGAAGTGACTGTGTCGCGCGCGCCGGTGGGATTGCAGGGGCGAGGGGGAGGGGGGGGAAAGACAGGGTCAGCGGAGGAGGGAGGCTGGGGGTGGCCAACTGCGGCGGGCGGCGGGCGGCGGGCGGCGGGGAGAAACACATTCGGTGGCGGGCCCCCCCCACACACACACATATGCGGCGCGACACTTACCTGAGGGCATGGATCATGTAGATGACCTTCGGCATGTTCTTCTTGTCGTAGAGATCGGTCAGCTCGAAGAAGTAGATGACCGGCAGGCCGACCTTCAGCGAGGCGACGCGATAGGCGTTGAAGTTGTCCGAGTGGCGCAGACCCAGGGGAAGCTTCTGCTTCTCGTCGAAGATCTTGCGCACGTCCTCCGGCGAGAAGAAACGCGCCAGCTTGGCCAGGAACACACCATTACGCAGGGCGTCCTCCATCTCGATGACGGGGGGCAGCTCCTCCTGGATGCAGACCTCAATCCAACTGCCGGGGGGGGGCGGGGGCGGGGGGAGAAGAAGGCACATGCGCGTGTCAGTGTATGTGGTAGTGCGTCACCGGCGGGCGGGAGAGGGAGGGAGAGGGCGGCGGGCGGGAGGGGGAGGGAGAGGGCGGCGGCGGCGGCGGCAGCCGGGCCCGTGCGCATGCAGATGTGCCCCAGGAGGGGGGCGGCAGAAGACAAGCACGTACGCCTTGGCCTCACCAATACGGACGAGGTACTCGTGCGCAATGCGCCGAGTGCGCTCCTCGTCCATGGTGTTGGCGTCCGCGCGGATGGGGACGGGGTCCTCCATGATTAGAGCTCAAAGCAGCCGAGGCTGAGTGAGAAGGAGGGGCCTGTGTCAGGCCTGGGCGTTGGGGGAGGGCGGGCGAGAGGGGAGAAGCGACGACGCGGGGGGGGGGGACAACCGAGGGTCAGTACGCGGCGCGCAGAGGGGGAGGAAGGGAGAGGAGGGCAAGGGAGAGAGGAAGGGAGGAAGGGAGGCTGCGGACACGAACAATGAGGGGGGTCTCCGGGGGGTGGAGGGGACGGTTGGAAAACCGGGAGTGGGGGGGGGGGAAGGCGCGCGCGGGGGAGAGGTGGGTGGGGGCGCGCGGGGTGATGTCGAACTTGCGCTCAATGTCACCGGACGCAGTGTAGGGTGGAGAGGGGGTATGTGGGTGTGTATGTAAAAAGGAGAGAAATGCGGTAGCCTCTGCGGGAGCAATGGCACAGCGATGCCCAAGGTGCGGTAGCCGCGGCACAACGCCGGGCTGTCTCTTGACTCCCCGCCACACCCCCCCCCCCTGCCACCACCGCCACACCCCCCCCCCCTGGTGGGGGCTGCGCCGGCGTGCTGCGCGCACCGGGCGCATGCACCGCACACACACACACACACGCGCTGACCGTGCGCGCCGGGGGGACCGGCACCCGGCCAGGGGCGGGCGCAAGGGGGCGGAGCTGGCCGGCGGGGGCGGGGACCGTGGGCGGGGGGCGAGGCTGGTATGTGCCGCCCCCTCCCCCCTGGAGAAGGGGGCGCGCACGAGCGCCAGGAGCGGGGGACGGGGGGGGGGGGAGGTCAACACGGCGGCCGGACGCCCCTCCACGGCCTTCTCCCGGGGCCGGGCGGGTGCAGACCGGGCAAACGACGGCCGCCGTGTGCAACCCCTCCCCGGTCGCGGCCCCCGCGCGCGGCTCTCGGGCGGCTGGCCAAGACGCGCCGCCTGTGTGCGACGCAGGCCCCGAGCAGCACCGGGAGGGCCTACGCCCGAAGACACACGCACACACACACACACACACACACACCGGGGCCGGCCGGCCGCGGGGGGAGAGCACGTTCGCACGGGGGAGAGGTGTCTCCGGGCCGCCGGCGCCCTCCCCCCCCCCCCCCCCCCGCCGGGCGGAGAGGGGGAGTCGCGCTAGCCGGCGCGGCTGGGCGCGCGGCCGAGGTCAGTAGGGCCCAGTGCTGTCCCCCCCCCCCCCCCCCCCCCCCCCCCCCCCCCCCCCCCCCCCCACGCCACCGCCCCCCAAAAACCCCCCCCCCCCCCGGCGGGGGGGGGGGAGAGGCCGGCCGCCCGCGGGCCCGCCCCCCGGGGGACGCCCCCCCCCCCCCCGCCCCCCGCCCCCGCGCCGCCGCCGCCCGCGCCGCCCCCCACCGCGGGACCGGGGCAGGAGTGCTGTCCCCCCCCCCCCCCCCCCCCCCCCCCCCCCCCCCGGGGCGGGCGGGCCGCGGGGGGGGGGGCCTCTTGCCCGGGGGGGGGGTGTCCCCCGGCCCCCCCGGCCCCCCCCCCCCCCCCCCCCCCCCGGGGGGGGGGGGGGGGTTCCGCCTGCCCCGGCGGCGGGGGGGCCCGCCCCGGGTCCGAGGGGCCCCTGGTGTCCCCCCCCCCCCCCCCCCTGCCCCGCCCCCGGAGCCGGCCGGAGTGCGCCCGGTCCCCGCAAAGAATGACCGGACTACGGGCGGGGGCGGGGGAAGAATGCTGCGCGCCCGGGGCCGCAGCTTCTGGAGGACGCCCCGCCCCCCTCGGGCCCGGGCCAGGCGGGGCCGGCGCCGGCTTCGAGCATCGTCCGGAGAAGGCTGAGAGGCGTTGCCGCCCCGTCCCCCCCCCCCCCCCGGGCTCTTTGCAAGGGAGCCGGCGCGAGCGCATTCGCACACACACACACACACACACACACACCCAAGAAGCGGTCACCGGCGCCCCTCCGCGGCCGGGCAAGGCAGAGCAGGCAAATGAACTTGCACATTCCACACAGGTCCAATAAACGCCCGGCCAGCGCGCCCGCGGCCGGGCATCCTTGCCCCCAATTAGGGAGGAGCCGCCGCGCCGGCTCCGCCGAACGTGGGGGTGGGGGACGGCCTACGGGCGCGCGCGCATGTGCGAGCCCGCCGGAGCATGCAAGCACACGGGCTGTCCCTCCCCGGGCGCCGGCGGGAGGCCCCGCGCCCGCCCCCGCACACGCCCCGGTGTACGGGCGCGCAAAGGAATTCCCCCCCCCCCCCCGTCCGGCAGGCGGGCTGTCGACAGCCAGCCCCAGCCGGCCGGCCGGAGGGCCACGACAAGGGACGCCCGGCCCCCCTGTCACCCGGGAGCTGGGGGGGGGGGGCGGGGACAAGGCACCTGGTCGCGCGTCCGAGTTTCCCCCCCCTCCAATCAGTCATGGTCGTCACCTCGGCGGGCCGGCCGGCGGCGAGGAGAGGTGCGGCCGCCGGCCCCCCCCCCCCCGGCCGGAGGTGCCGCGGGCGAACCATGGTCAAGGAATTTTCCCCCCCCGCGCGCCCGGCGAGCCCATTGAGCAAGGGACCCGCTCCCCTGGGCGCGGGGACCATCGCCGGGCGTTTGCGGGGCCGCGAAGCCCCCCCCCCCCCGGAGAGCCCTCGCCCGGCACCCCGGCGTCCGCATACCAGGGCACGCCGGGGCAGCGCACCCTCGGCCGGGCTCAGACACGCGCCCGGCACACCAAACAAAGGCAGGGGCGCGCAGGCGAGCGGAGACCCAGAAAGAGCGAAAGACGTAGAGGCACGGGCGGGGGGGGGGGGGGGCGCGGGCAGACAGGGGCGTAGGCAACAGAGGCCCCCCCCCCCGGGCAGGGGACAAGACAGGGGAAGCCTTAATTTCGGGGCCCCGGGCGCCGGCGCGCAACATGAGGCAGGCCGCGGCCGCGGCCCGCTCGGCCGAGCACCGCGGCCGCCTCGCCCCCCCCCCGCGATGGTGATGGGGCCGCCGTGCCCGCCGCCGGGACTCGGCGGGCCGGCCGTGACACCCCGCGCGCGGGCGCGCGTGTGCGGAGGACACACCCATGCACACGCACCCCCGGCCCCCCGGCCCCGGGACAGGGGCCCCGTCGCGCAAACGGAAGCGGCCCTGGTGAGCCGGGTCTCCCGGACAGAATGACACATCCCGGTGTCACACGGCGCCCTCTCGTGTGAGAGGGGACGCCCTGGTCTCTTTTGTCCTGTTTCCGTCCCCCCCCCCCCCCGGGGGGGGGGCGAGACACCTCCGAGCAGCCAATATTCGTACGAAAATAATCCCACCAATATGCGCGGACATATGCCCGGCGCATATATCCCCCCCCCCCCAGCTCTAAATGGGCCTCTCGAGGTCCGGTGCCGGGCCTGGTCCCCGGCGGTGCGGGCCCGGGACCGCCCCGCTGCCAGGCCCTCCCGGCAGCGGGCTCTCCGTGTGCCCGCCGTGTCGCCCCGCGCCACGCCAGGCCTGGACTCATATGACGGACGGCGGCCGGGGCGGCGCGCCCGCCTCGAGAGAGAGCCCCCGGCGCCGCAAGCAGAGGCGCGCTCTGGCCGAGGCGCGAGGGAGAATGCCCGCGCCCGGGTAAATGGCCGCGCCGCATTCCGAGATTCCACCACCCCAGAGGCGGGCCTGCGGCGCGCGCGCGCGCGCGCGCGAATGTGGGCGAGAAGCTATTTGAAGTCCGGCTATGGTGACCGGCCCGCGGGTTGTCCGGCGGCGGGCATTCCACCGCGCGCGCCCCGCGCGCCCGCCCGGCGGCCCAAATGCCCGCCACCAGGGCCGGCAGACAGCACCGGACCGCCCGCTCCCCCGGCCGCCCGGCCTCCCCGAGCCCAGGCGCCGGCGCATGTCAGGCGCGCCTCCTCCGAGGCACCCCCCCCCCCCCGCCCGCCCGCCCGCCCCTGGTGCCGGGGCAGCGTAGGGCCCCCCGCCCTGGCCGGGGAGGTATAGGAAATGCGCCCAGCCCCCCCCCCCCCCCCCGCCAGACGCCGCTCACTGGCTGCTGACGACCGCCCCGGGGCGCGGGTCCCCTGCCGGCCCGGCCCGGCCCCGGCCCGGCTCCCGGAGGGGCGCGTGTCAGACACAATCGTTCGAGCCCGTCACACGGCCAGCCTCGAGCGGCGCGCACGGTGCCGCCGCGGGCCCCCGACGGGCGCCCCCGCCCGCGCGGTCGCGGCCGGCGCCAGCGCAGCCTGCCTCTAGTCCGGCGCATTCCCGTCTAGCCGTGCCGGGCGCACGAATTCCTGCTGGCCCTTGGCCCGGGGCCCGGGCGGCAGGGACGAGCGCCGGCGCGCCTCCCTCCCTGGCCGATACCCCGACATTCCTCCCGCTACCGGGGCGGGGGGGGCGGGGGGGGGCACCGCCAGCGCGGGCCGGCAGGCCCGGGCCCG